CAATAAAAACTGGAGAGCGAAATATGGGTAAGAGCATGTGGACTAGCATATGTACGCTAGGACAGAAGGACAGACACAGCAATGAAGCCTAATTCGGAATTTTAGAGAATTCGAACAAGGAAGTACATCTCTTCACGGCGACCCTGCCGAAGGGAGCGGGGAGTTGAAAACAGGAGTTCCAGTGATAATCGTACCTCTGAAACAGACCTCATACCAATTACGTTCACATCTCTAGCTAATGGATTATCTACGTTTTTCATCTGAAACCGACGAGTAGACACGTGGCCGGCGTTTCGCTAGCGATCGTGAGGGTGGACGGAAGAAGCTGCTTAAGTGACCGTTGCGTAGTAGGTCAGTGTAGTCCAACTGAATAAGGTAGAAGTGTACTTGTAGCCTCATGGGACACGAATACAACGGGTGCGTCAGTTTATTTTCACCGGGTGCATCCATACATAGGATTTGTTCGAACCAACGTTGAACTAGTGTCAAAATGTCCGGCAGTAAGTTTGGAAAAGTGAGCTACTTCGGTTTCCTCTTCTAATAACTACGTTTATGCCCACACACTAGATACTAAGTTGGCGCTAAAAACGTGAAGGACGTAAGAGGATCCTAGGTGCTTCATTTATCTCGATGAAGCTCACAAAAGAATACGCTGTGGAATCTCCCATGAAGGCCGACAAATTTCCGGAACTAAATGAAGCGTTGGAGTAGTATTCTTAATTGAATGGGCGATGAGCATAAACCTTTTTCGCGGACAAAAGACCAAATAGGCAATGGCTCATGTTGAAGGACAAAAAAGACCAGTTCGGAAATCATCCGAACGCACTGACGGTCGGAATCAAGCCTCATATAGAAAAGTCGAGTGCACCCAGAGAAACAGTAACATTTGCTGAACCACGTCAGCAGACAACATACGCAGCTCTGAAGATGTTTCCCACTAGTAAGGTCCAAATGAGCTATGGCAGTTATGCTCGCCCAGGAATAAACGGCTTCAACTCGGAGTCTTTTCCGTGTACTGTCCATGTGCCCGTTTAAGATAGGTGGTATTTATTGGAGTACCAACAATGTTGAAAGGTGAAAAAATCAACTGTCTAGTGTACCGTGTCAGAATATCAAAAGAATGTGTAAAAAGAACAGGATCTCTAACCTCTGGGCAGTCTGTTAGTAATCCTAGTCATATTTCAGCAATGCATCTGTGAAATACGGTCATTATTCATAGACACAGCTCTTCTGAACAGTGAATTTGGTCAGAGGAATTCAGAATACAGGATAATACGCCCGACGCTCAACATAGATAAAAATATATCGATTCGGTAACAAGCATCTATACCTGATGTCTGATGAAAAATGTTTCACATCCAAGAGATCTAGGGTGACCGCATGTGTAGCACGTTCAAAGCAACTGACGAATATTTGAACCATATAGATTTATCGAGCCGATTTATTGGTCTGCCGTACGCGACAAAGTTTACCAGAAAATCCTGTTTTTTGGGAACAGTCAAGTATTATTCCCAAACTTCAACGGTCCTTGTGGAAACGTGACAAGTGATGAGCCGGTTTGAAGATATTGACTATAGAGTAGGGTGTGCTTAGTTCTGAAAAAGCGACCAACGAAGCGTTTACAGGTGAAAGGTACCCTTCAGGTGGATGAAGCGGCTTCGGTTGCGTGCCAGTCTCGTTAACAGTTTTTCATCGTCTACTGCAATGGCAAACAACCACTAACTAGAGTTGCGTGCATGGTGAACAGGAGTTATGTACTCACAGTGTAAAGTCATGCCCCTGGATATGCAGTCACTGAACACGCCACTTACAATCCAGGAAAAGACACTCGAAGTTGTGGAGCGTTTTACGTACCTTGAAAGTTGTAAACGGTCTGAGGTCAATGCACGAAACTTCAAGACTCGGGTGGCATGGAGTCAAAGGACATGCATCAGGCTACAACACTGGCTGTTTTGTCATA